AAGAACTCTGAAGACCTGTTAAAAGCCAAGGATATTCAGCTCTTCTGGGGCTCCCCTTCTCTACATAGTGAGTCCCTGAAACCTCTAACTGCTGCCTTGGGTGACAATTCCTCAATATGTGCTGACGTCAACAGAATCGCTAAGGCCTCCACAGCCAGCAGTTATCCTACTAACCCCATACCTCTGTCCTTGCCTGAGAGTGACCAACAGGCCTGGCCAAAAAGCCTTCTGCAATCTCAGGTCAAGGATGTGTCTCATGCTAGGCCTCGGGCCCAGCCTCAAAGCCAAATTCCAGACCCGCTACCTTCACTGGCCCAGTTCAGGATCTGTGGGGTGCGTTTACACAGACCCCAGAATGAAGCACAACCTCTGATCCCAGATGAAATCCACCACATCGAATTCAACATATTGCAAAAAATACAGGAAAGTGTATGGGGCTTACCCACTGTAATCCAAAGGTCCCAAGAAGACTTCTGTTCTCCACCTCCCAAGCTCCCGTTCAGACCGCCCTTCAGGATGCATGTGTCCAGGACCATCCTTACTGGAGACTTCCCCCTCAACGTGGCGGTCAGGAAGAAACTAGAGCAGCACCTTCGAAAGAGGTTCATCCAGCATTTCTGGGGCCTGCACCACGGGATCCGCCAGTCCCTGTCACTCGTGAATCCTCAGGAAGAATATCCTGGCCCCTCTGTGTCACAGAGCAGCCACGGACTCTCATGGATCTCTCTCTTTGAGCCCCAGGCCAGCAAAGGTCTATCTAACTTTGTACCGAGTCAATCTGGAAACCTCCGTGAGAGCTTAGGGAGTCTCACTCATGCGAAGTCAGAGAGTCTCGCTCATGGGAGGTCAGAGAGACTCGCTCCTGAGAGGTCAGAGAGACTCACTCGTGAGCTCACTCAGTCAGAGAGACCTGCAAGTGAGACGTTAGAGAGTCTTGATTCAGAGAAGGCTGTGGTCAAGGTACAGACACATAGTCCCGAGACTGACCCAAAAAATCATCTCCAGAGCGACACCAAGGTCACTCCAGAGAACAGTCTACAGTCTGATTCTGAAGCAGGCCCAGAACATCAGTTAGAGATTTTGTCATGCAAATGTTCAAAGACTTCACCAATAAACTCATGTCAGAAAGAGCGTGAAATCTTCTCGCAAGTACATTTGGACAGGAAAATTAAAGAAATCAACAAGGGTCAGATCCCAGGCACTGTGGGCAGATCATGGCATTCTGCCAAAGTGACATTGCTTCCACCTGAGAAATTCCCCAGTCAAATCAAAGACATGGTGCCATTGGTTGGAGAGGAAGACCCACTGAAAAACCAACAGAAGAGTTTAAAAATCAGTCCTAGCAAGGAAAAGATTTTGGAAGACCACGTTAAAATCTTTAATAAGCAGATGATATATGGTCTTCCCGATAAAGTTCAGGAATCCGTACAGTCCTATATGACCAAAGGAGACACACATCGTCCCTCCTCCCAGTCCCACTCACTCTCCTCTGCCATTTTGGAAGTGGATCCTGTACAGTGGGCCTCCAACTCCTCTAGCGTTTCTAGAGGAAACCCTAATGCGTATAGAAGGGACAAACCGCAAACAACCAGTTTAATCCCCATCCCAGAAGTTCCTCTCCCTGCTGCCTCACCTGTCAGGCAAAAAGAGCAGGCAGACCAGGTGCAATCAGCTTCTGAGAAGAAGGTGCTTATAGAAGACCTTAGTAGAGTTCAAAATGGCAGAGAGCCGATCCAGCAATGGACACCGAGCACTGTAGACAATGCCAGCCAGAAACAGCCTGGATCATACAATAGACACAGCTCAGAGACCTCAAGACCACTCAGGCCAACAGATGAGAGACTGAGTTCCAGCACCAAGGCACAGAGGCCTGAGGGAGAAAGGATGAATTCGGAAGATGATTCCATATCTAAGGGGTTCACAGAGACACTCAAGGGAAAGGAACTTCGTAATCTTCAACCACAACCGGCTAAGATCTTGACAACCACCCCCACAGAGAGCTCCTCAGAGAGTCATGGAACTGTAGAGAAATCAGATAGTACCCTGAGAACTGGAAGGCCTCTGAATGGAACATCAGTTTCCAAAGATCCCGAAACACTTGACTCTAAAAGTCAGGTGTCTAGAGGGTTCATGTTAAAATCAGAGAATGGGCAGCAGATCCAGGCTCTGCGCCCTCATGACATGCCCCCTGCCCCAGAAGAAATGACTTCCAAACTCCAGGGTTCCTTCAGTGGGGACATGACAGCTTCTCAGGTGCTGCATGTGCACTTGCCCACTGGAGGGATCAACATAGAGCCACGGAAGGGTCCCTGGCTCCCTGAACACATTTCATGCAAGAGCCAGAACAAGGCTGCCCCAGCTGCCAAGATAGTGTGTGCTCCAGCTACCAAGGCAGGCAAACTTGGTGGAGAGGATGCAGGGTTAGGAACATCCCAAACTAGAGTGAAGAGACACTCTGTTCAGGACAAGGCATCAGAGGAAACATACAGGTGCACAGCCTCTGCAGCCCAGTTGCCTAAGAGGCAGCCTTCTTCTGAAAACCACTTTAAAAACCAGATGAAGTGCTTTGGGCAGTGGTTTTCTCCTGGAAGAAACACAAAAAACCTAATTTGTGGGAACACTGATGCCCAGAAATGCATGAGAGATACTGGGCT